GCCGGTGTGCAGCTGGGGGTGGGGCGTCCAGCCTCTCGGAGAAAGTCATAGAGGGGGTCAGGAGTTGGAAACGCGGTTCAAACAAGCAGAAGACCAGGGTGCGGAGAAGAGCAGCTAAAATGGTGACAGCACAGACTATCCGAGGAACCCCCACGGGGCCGTGTGCAAAGAGAGGCACCAAGGATCTCAGTAGCACTGGCGTTGCTAAGAAGGTATAAAACGATTCAAAACGCCAGCATGTCTGAAGTGCTCAAAAGACACAGAATATGCAGGGGCAGCTAGAGACGTGGCCAGGGGCTGGGTGTGGATCCTAATATTACCACTGGAGGAACGCTGGATGAATCGGATTCATTCTGCCAACAAGAAAAGACAAGTGTGGGGTTGGTTGGTTGGTTGGTTCAACAACAACAAATTATACAAGTCTGTTGCAATATATTCTACAAATCCAATGAAGATAGAAATAAAAAGGTGAGGCTTTTAAAATCCTTATTATTCCAGTAATACTAGTACAATGGCTACCCTTCTATTAGTGTTTACTATGTGTCTGATCCACGGTTGCTATTAAATATTATCATCCACTGTGTTCTACTTGTCTTCTCATTTAAACTCACCACAGCCATAGAGAAGGTTTACTATTATCACCATCTTCTTCTTGTTGTTTGCCATCAAGTTGGACCCAACTCAGTTGTGTTTGAACCACTAGCCTTCTGGTTAGCAGTCAAGAAGTGCCTTATGCACTATGCTACCAGAGCTCCTTATTATCACCATCTTACAAGTGAGCAAGTGAGGACATGGAAATTCACCAAAGATAAGCAACTTGCTCCTGGCCAAAAAAAAAAAAAAAAAAAAACCTCACTGCCCTCCAGTCAGTTCTGACTTTTCTGACTCATAGTGACCCTTCCTTGGGTTTCCAAGGCAGTATCTCTACAGAAGTAGATTGCTCAGTGTTCCTTCCAAGGAGTGGCTGGTGGGTTTGAACCACTAGCCTTCTGGTTAGCAGTCAAGTGCCTTAGGAGCAGGGATTCAGCCCCAGGTCTGTCTGAGCAGAGAACCAGCCCTTCCCTGTGCTGATCCATAGGCCCTTCGGTGTATGAGTCACCCCCCTAGCACAATTTAGGCTTTGGGCTGAGATAGCTTTTAACAGATTTATTTACACTCTCTGTGGATCAATGATGTGAACACAAATTCAAAACAGGAAGGTACTCAAGAGAGCGTCTAATCCAGGCACTTTGTATCACAGAAAAGAAAACAGACTCACAGAAGTGAATGAGTGCAGCCAAAACCCACCCAACCCATTGCCATCAAGTCAATTCTGACTCATAGTGACCCTGTAGACAGAGTAGAACTGCCCACAGAGCTTCCAAGGCTGTAAATCTTCATGAAAGAAGATAGCCTCATTTCCCACGAAGCAGCTAATGGGTTCAAACCACCAACCTTTTGGTTAGCAGGCCAAGGGTATACCCACTGCACCACCAGAGCTCCTCGAATGCAGCCACACTACTAGTGATTTATACAATGGCTCCACCAGGATTGGGGTGGAGTCTACAACTTGGAAACAAAATGGATTCAAAGAGTGTCTCCTTCCTCCTCCTCCTCCTCGCCTGCACTCGCCTCCACCTCCCAGTTCCCTGGTACATTAGCATTCAGATTCCCAGTGACAGATGACTCTAACATTGCTTCTTTCCCTTGACAGTTTGTGAGGTGCTTTAACTTCCATTTCCATTTTCCAGGGTTCAGGACCTATCCCAGAAATATTTTCTCTCCCCATCCTCCTTACATACTTGGGGCAGGCTACTCAGGGCAGTGCTTTTCTCAATCCAAACAGGGGTCCTCTGTTTTTACAGAGCTCCAAAAAAGAAAGTTCCACAGGCTTCCTTGGCCACCCATCCCAGGGTCCTATTTTTCTAGAGAATTTCCGTCATACGTTCCAGCTTTCTTTCTCCCTTCTTCTTTAATGCAAAGTCAACTCTTTTCCTCTTTTTCTGTCTCAGTGATGAAGGCCATTATCCTGCTTATTATATTGCTTCATGGTCTTGAAGAGTTGTTAAATTCACTTTCAATTTTCTTTTCTCCAAGTGGAAAAACAAATTCTTCACAATTTTCTCATAGATCCTAATTGATAACCATTTCCTAGCTTTGCCATTCTTCCTTAAGCCTCTCATTTCTCATCTTAGGTTGTGGAGCTTATCCTATTGAATACAAATCTCTGGTACAGATATGATCCATGTCAAATATAAGACTCACTCACACGTTGTTGATATAACTTAGCATGGTGCGTGCTTCCATAGCAGTGTAACCTAGTTGCTTTAGATTGTACTTCCCTAAAATCTAGACCCTCTTCTGCCTGGCTAACTTCAGAGCTGACATGTTTATTTGCTAATAAAGGACTCAATGTCCAGGGTGTGTACTGGGAGAAGGAGGCAGGGAGCTAACATTTACCAAACCTTTTCTATATGCCAGCTACTTTACACATTCAGTACAATCTTCTCAACAACCTTCTGAGGTCAGCATTATTTTCACCTTACAAATCTATGACTCCAAGATTCTAGAAATAAAGAACCCTAGCTGTGTTCCCACAACTAATCCCACAGCCAAGAATTTGAACCCACAACTTGTTTACTCCAAAACTATATTCTTCCCAATGGTCCCTCAAGACCGGAGTTTCACATACAGGTTAGTATCAGTCCAATAGAAGCCCTAGTGGCATAGTGATTAACCGGCAGTTCAAACCCCTCAGTCATCCCATGGGAGAAAATTGTGGTAGTTTGCTTTCGTGAAGATTACAGCCTTGGAAACTCTTATGAGGCAGTTCTGCTCTGCAACACAGTGTTCTATGAGGAGAACTCGATTAGACAGCAATGGTTTGGGTTTGCTTTGGTCTCTTCCCTTCATTGAAGGAAGTGGGGAGAGAGTGACAAGATTGGAAGCATCATAATTTCTGCAGCAGTGACCCCGGGAGTCTGGAGCATTTTTATTGTTGTAAATATATCTATCACACAACTTCTGCCAATTCAACTTTTTACAGGTGTATAGCTTACTGACAGCAATTACATCATCAGCTGTGCAACCCTACCTTTAATCAATGTGATTTTTCCATCACCTTAAACCGAAACTCAGTGCTGTTTGAGGCATTTTTAATTCAAATCGGAGGCTAAGAACCATGGTCATTTCTTGGCTGCCTGTGCTCTTAGCTGATAAGTCGATGTAGGCTGGCTTCAAAGGCTTTTGAATTGGGACAATCCCTTAGACCTATCAAACAAAGCCTAACTTGGATAACTGCCAGGATCTTGCCAGTTGTAAGACTGGAGAACTGAGGTGTGCCCATCTGGAGGCAGCAACAGCCCGGGGACCTCCCAACCTTATCACGGGACACGGGCAGCAGTGACAGAGTCTGATCTGGGCCCTTCCCATTTGAGTCCTGCTTCTATTTTGAAGACACAAAGTAAAATCTATTCTTTGGAAAATATTTTATTATTATTATTTTAATAAAACTGACACTTGGAAAAGGTAGTAAGTTGGAAAGGAAGGAACATATATCACAGAACCTGATAATTTAAAAAGGTAGAGTACTATTTTAGCAGTTTTAGACAATCTTGAATTTAAGCCTATAGTACAAAAACTAGTGATATAGATTCCTGTATAGTGTGTGTAGAGGAGAGTCCTGGTGGTGCAGTGGTTAAGTGCATGATGGTTCAAACTCACCAGCTCCATGGGAGAAAGATGTAGCAGTCTGCTCTTGTAAAGATCACAGTGTAGGAATTTCTATGCGGCAATTCTATTCTGTCCTACAGGGTTGCTACAGGGCAGTGGAATTGACTTGACAGAAGTGGGGTTAGGGTTTAGATATACCTATGTGTGAATATATGTGTGTTAATATAAACACACACACATACACATGTATGTATTTTGTGTGTGATGATATGTATGTATATTCACATACATATGGTTTAAGACCATACTTCTATAGTCTTTTTTTTTTTTTTTCCCCTC